AGAAACACCTTAATGGACTATTATCCCTTTAAAAATTGGCCATGCGCCATTCACGTGCACAATTTTTGTCAAAAGTCTTAAATGCCATTTTTGAATAAACTAAGTTGATGTGAAATTTAAAATTAAGTATTAAAATCGAATCAATTAAAAATAGAAGAATTAAAATGACATAAGAAACAAATTATAAATATTAATTTGTCCAAAAAAATTTCAAATAGAAGCCCAACAATACTCTTGGACTTTATAAATAAATAATTTCTGAATTTTTAAATTTAAAATTTAAAATGCTAAAACTAGAGGGACATGGCCGGCCAAAAAAAAAAGTTAGTTAGCTTGCTGAGAAGCCTCGCCAAAAGTGGTGTCAAAAGGTGAGTTTCCAGAGCAAAGAAGTTACCGGGAGTGGTTCCAAGTGGGCTTCTTATTTTTATTTATTTAATTTTTGAGATTTCTCTCTATAATGGCCGATGAGTAATAGTACTCTAGTCTCCTAGATTACAATGCTTAGCTAAAAATAAAAATAATAAACAACTAAACGTATATTTATGTTCACACAATTACAAAATTACACACACAAAGAAATCAATTGGTTGATGTTCGATTTTAGGAGTATCAGGAGAGGAATGGTTTGGTGTGGTGACTTGGGTGAATTGATGATTCCGATTCATTGAAAGTAAGTTTAATTTGTAAATATAAAAGTAAAATTTTATATTTATTTGCTATTTTTGCCCTTTTAATATGTACTTTGTATCCCCCCACCCCGGGAATGTCTTCTTCAAGAATGATAGTAAAAATTTAACTTTGGTATGTGTTCGTGAATTATTTCTTCTGTTATACAAACTTTACTATGAAACAGAATAAAATGTTTTGTTTACATTGATTTCGACGGTAACATTATTTGTTTTATAAAGAATTTCAAAGTATCTTATTTGACAGATTTTGATGAAAGAATTCTAAATGTACTAATTTTATTAAAAATCGATATATAGATAAAAAGTTATATCATTTTAAAGTTTAAAATATTAAATTAGCCACTAAGGATATTTTGGTAATACTAATGTATGCTGGACTTTTCAAAGAAAATTTTTGATATTTGTCTTTAATACATTAAAAAAAAAATTTAAATATTTTTTTTATAGGGCTTTTATTAAATCCCCCTAAAAATAAATTGTGTAAATTTTTTAAAATAAATCTGATTCAATCAAGTGATTATTAATATCAAATTAATTTAATTTTTTACACTAATAATTTTCTCAAAAACACTATAAAATGATCCATGTGAATCACTAAAGTGCCGTTTGGTAATACTTACGTTTTCAATTTTCTGTTTATATTTACAAAAATTTAAAAAACTCAAATAAAAACTTGTTTGGTAAAATTTTTTACTTATAAATCAGTGGTCTCAGTTTATAAATTTGGCCAAAAAATGAAAATACAAAAAATATGTTTCCGTTTTGAGTTTTGAGTTTTTTTTTTGTTACCACCTAACACTAGCCACCCCCCGCCACCATTTTCCACCACCGTCTTCTGCTACCACCACCCACCACCCACTTGCCACCACCACCCGCCACACCCACCTGCCACCCACTTGCCACCACCACCTACCCCTCGCGCCACCACCCACCACCCTCGCACTACCACCACCACCACCACCACCCACCACCTGTTACTATATCCACCGCCCGTGCACCACCACCCGCCACCTACTTGCCACCACCACTCACCAGCACCATCCACCACCTGCTACCACCTGCTACCACCAGCACTTACCACCACCAGCTACCTGCCACCCACCCGCCACCACCACCCACCACCCTCACCACCACACCACCACCCCACCATCACCCATCACCACCACCACCACACTCGCCACTTACCCGCCATCCGCCCATCCCACTTGCACCACCACCCACCCCCCACCAAACACCACAACCCGCTACCCACCACCCACCGTCACCCATCCACACACCACCACCACCCACTCGCCCCCAACCACCACCACCCGCTACCTACCACCCACCGTCACCACTTTCCACTATCGTCTTCAGCCGCTACTTGGCACCACTTGTCATTTCTCACTTTTTTTTTTATATTTTATTTTTTTTTAAACATTTTGTCAATTACCAAACGCGTTTGTAGTTTATGTTTTTCTAAAAATAAACAAAAATCAGTTTATAAAATTTTTGTAAATATAAACTGAAAACGTAAATGTTACCAAACACACCCTAAGCCTTCGTTTGGGATGTGAGTTATTTTTTTTTTTCTTGACATTTGTGAGAGAGAAAATAAAATGATTATGGTTTAAATGTGACACTTTATCTTATTAATTTTTTAATCTATTTTATCTTTTTATTACTATTTTAACTGAAACCCTTTATGCTAAACAAAGCCTAAATTAATCTAACCAATCCCTGACATTAGGTTTTCACTTCATAATCCAACCAAAGTGAAGCTCTCCTTAAAAAAAAAAAAAAAAAAAAAAAATCTATTTTGGGTTCGTTTGGAAAGTGGGTTAACTTTTTGACTTTTTGATTTTTTTGGTTATTTTAGCCTAGAGCTAAAAAACTTGGTTTGGGAAGGACTTTAGACTTTTTTGACTTTTTTGTGAGAGAAATAATACAATGATTATGGGTTAGATGTGATGTTTTGTTTTATTAGGCTAAAAAGCCTATTTTATTTTTTGTGGTTAAAATAGCCGAAAAAAGCCCCAATTTTTGCTTCCCAAACGAAGCCTTTATTGATTAGACTTATTTTATTTATAAATCTTGGGTGGGCATTGGTCCGTTGGCCCATTTGATTTAGTTCTTTTTTTAAAGGTTTGAGAATGTTATTTTAGCCCATAGAGTCATATTGGGCCAACATTTTTAGTTAAATATATTAATGGGCAGCGTTTGAGATTTATACTTTTAACTCAGTTTAGCCTGACCCAACTTGCTATTAAATTAATTAATTAATTGTTATATATTAAAATATATATTTTTTGTTCGGATCTTGACTTTATCTTTATTCATTTTATTAAAACTCACATTTGTGGTGATATATGATTAAATTTATTTAAGAAATATTTCAATTTATACATAAAATCCTTCAATTTATAATGATATTAATATATTTATTTGAGAAATATAATGTCTGATTGAATTTAATTATAGAATGTTTTAATTTTTTTAAAACATATAGCTCAATGGGTGAATTTGAGATTTATAATTATTTTTTGAGCAGAATTTAAGTAGATATAGAGACTTGATGTTAGGGTCGGGTCAAGCTTGGACAGATACAAAGATTCTTATTATATAGTGTCAGTCCGGCCCGACGAATGTCCACCCCTAGGTACAACTACCTCTACTTGTATAAAAAATAATAAAAATTTAAAAACAATATAAATTAAATAATATTTTTTGTAATAAGACCAAAACACCCTTGTTGCTTTCCCTTCATTTTAGCTTTTCATCATTTAAAAAAAAAAAAATACCTTTTCACTAAACTTATTTTTACATAACTTTTGTTTGATAAAAAAATAATTTTTGAACACTTAAAACATTTTTTTAATTTATTTTTGTCAATTTAATTTCTAATTTTTTAAAATACATTTTGAAAATTCAACCAAACAAAAATAACTTTCAAAGTTTTTTTTTTTTTTTTTTTTTTTTTTTTATTGGAATTAATTTGTAATAAAATAATAAAATAGAGTACATAAAATAAAATAACAATTCATCCCAAATGAAATACTTTTAACTAACTTGAAATAATTTTAAAAATTAAAAATTCTTTCCAAACTGAGCGTTAATACAAACAAAAATGCTTGGAACTCCCAAAGTTAGGGACTCCATAATTCCAGAAATAATGTGGATTAATTATGTGTTTTTATTTTTTGTGTCATGTTTTCCTAGACTAATCACAAATGAGTGAGAATTGTGAAATTAAATAACATTGTTGTAATACAAAAACTAAACCCACACTCCAAAAAAAAAAAATATAATAATAAAAAACCTTTTTAAAGGTTCCAGCCCAGCACCGTACAGATAATTATTTAGTAATTTTGAAATATAAATGTGTATTATTTTATAATATTGTAATTGGTGAATAAAAGTAAGTGAGCATTGTATTTAGTGGTGTTTTGAAAAGTTGATAAAAAATTAATTTTTGACTTATTTAGTCTATTTTATCTCTTTATGGGTAAAAAATATAAAAAGTGATATGATCCAAAATAAATAAAAAGCTAAAAACTTATTTTTATTTTTATTTTTTTTAAAATTTTTATTTTCCAAATCACCTCTTAGTGATTAAAAAATATAATAAATTTATTAAATAATGAATGATTAGGAATTACAAACACACAACACTCCAAAAATATTTTATAATTTCCCCAGGTACGTACCCTTAATAAAATTGAGCCACTCCCTCCCTCTGGTGCCGACGATGATATATACATATATACACACCCGCTCCTCTTTTTCGTTTCAAATATCATCTTCATCATCACCCACCCGAACCCAACCTTACCTTTCTCATCTTCAAATATCATCCATTCAACACAAACGAGAGAGAGGGAGAGCAGACATATACACGCACGAAGAGAATGAATGAAACAGAATACAGGTAGAGAGACAGAGAGAGGAAAGAAGAGAGAGAAACAGTACTGTTTCTAGTACTCAGATACCAGACCACAAGGACCAAAACAATGAGGGCGTGACGAAAACAGAGCTCCCTCAAAACAACCCCCCTCCCCTTGGCACCACCACACCCACACCCCTCGCCAACGTTCCTCTCTCTCTCTCTCTCTTTCTCTCTCTCTCTCTCATATATTCCGTATGTATGTACAGCTCATGTCTGCTTAGCTCAGCTCAACAACAACACACACACACACCTTCTCTATTCTCTTTCGTCTCATCACTCTTCCCTTATGAGACTATCATTCTTCCCAACCAGTCTTCTCCATTATTCCCACAGATTATTCCTCTCTCTCCTCCTCTTTCCCCCCACCACCAACACCACCATACAGCTCATGTCTGCTTAGCTCAGCTCAACAACAACACACACACACACACCTTCTCTATTCTCTTTCGTCTCATCACTCTTCCCTTATGAGACTATCATTCTTCCCAACCAGTCTTCTCCATTATTCCCACAGATTATTCCTCTCTCTCCTCCTCTTTCCCCCCACCACCAACACCACCAATCTGGTCTCCACCTCCTCTTCAGCCCCCCGGTGGTCCCAAATGATCACCACCACCCGCCGCCACCAACAGCACCAGAAGAAGAAGAAACAGAAGATTGTAGTGATTATGGGACCAACTGGGTCGGGCAAATCGAAGCTTTCCGTGGACCTCGCCACCCGATTCTTCCCCTCCGAAATAATAAACTCCGACAAAATACAAGTCTACCGCGGTCTCGACATCACTACCAACAAGATCCCAATGCACGACCGCCGAGGCGTCCCCCACCACCTCCTCGGCGACTTCCCTCCCCACTCCGACCTCACCCCCTCCGCCTTCCGCTCTGCCGCCGCCTCCGCCATCTCCGCCGTTTCCTCCCGCCGCAACCTCCCCCTCATCGTCGGCGGCTCCAACTCCTTCATCTACGCTCTCGCCGCAGACCGCTTCAACCCCGCTTCAGACGTCTTCCATGACACACACCCAGACCCGGTTTGTCCAGACCTCCGCTACGACTGTTGCTTTCTCTGGGTCGATGTCTCGATGCCCGTTTTGAACCAGTACTTATCCAAACGAGTTGACGACATGCTCGACTCGGGCATGTTCGAGGAGTTACAAGAGTATTTCGACTCGGATCAGCACCGTCGTGAGTCTAACTCGGCGATTCGGACTGGGTTGAGGAAGGCGATAGGGGTGCCCGAGTTCGAACCTTACTTCAAGAAGTTCCATCCGGGCACGAATCCAAAGGAGGATCCAGTAAGGATGGCTGTATACGAGGAGGCGGTGAGGGCGATCAAGGAGAACACGTGTCAGCTGGCGGAGAGGCAAGTGGGGAAGATCATGCGCCTGAGGAACGCCGGGTGGGACCTCCGGCGACTAGACGCCACGGAGGTTATCAGGGCGGCGATGAAGAAGGAGTCATGTGTGTCAGATTCCGGCGAGAGTTGGGAGAGACAAGTGGTGGAACCAAGCGTGAAGATTGTGAAGCGGTTTTTGGAGGAGTAGGTTTTCCAGCTATTTCCAGCTCTCCATTCTGTTTCTCTCTCTCTCTCTCTCTCTCCCTTTCTCTCTCTCCAGTTTGTTAATCTTTCTCTCTCTATAATTTTATGTTTTTTGGGAATTTTTTGTTTTTGTTTTTATTTATTTTTCATTTTTGTAAAAGTTTACGTGATGGATTGGAGGGAGGGTGAACGTTTGGGCTGAGCCTTGTCGTGCCAAGGGTTGAGCTGGGCTTAGCAAAATGGCTACCAATTTTGGTGACTCTGGTTGTGAATTTCAGCTTTTTTGGAGGCCCTGCTAACTTACAAATACACAAACGACATGAAAATTTTCCAGGCCCAAAGCAATTTTTTTTTCTCTTCATGTATATGTCATAAATCTTTTCCATACGAAATTTATATTTTAAGTTGTATTTGTCATTCGTGAGATTCGAACACTACATGTGTTGCTATAGAAGGATCGGGGATGCTTTACCACTAATTGTTCTAGGGTCACTCTGAAAGCAGAGGAATGAATACATTTTTAATGGAGTGTAGCCAAATTGCTTTGAGTTGAGTGAGCTTATAAAGCTTTGGCTTTCATTATGGATCAAAGCCTCACTAAAAGATTTCCATTACTCAGTGACTTACTTATAATTCAATTTTAATCATGTGAGGGTTTGTCTTTGAGATTTCTGCTGGGAGCTTGGCTGCTTTCTTTCTCCCTTTCTTGTATTTTGTCTGGTTTGTCTTGGTTGGTTCCTCACTATCCTAGCTTGGAGCTAGTATATGATTGCGTTTTCTTTTTGGTGCCACTCTAGTTGGGATTGCTTAGTTAGCTATGATGCTCTCTGCTCTTACTTACTTTATTGATGCTTGCGATATACTTTGTACTAAAAACTACATGTGTTGCTACAATACTGAAACAAAGGTCTTCGAGAACAATATATATTGGATTGGAAAGAGAATAAAAAGGAAAATGTGTAAAATAAAAACTTCATTCTGAATTCTAGTGTGCTGTGATTGTGATCATGAAAGTCACATTATGTAACCATTATTCATCGCTGCTCAAAGAACCATATCTACACACAATCCCACTCCTTCCCAAAAAGAATTGTGATTTGGCATTTGATCCTCCTTAGTTGTTTATGTCAAAAATTCAAATTTTTGGACAATTATTTGTTTATTTTTGTGTGTGGTGTTTTTATCACCAAATTTTATTTTAGTTCACTCCCTTACTATGTACTTTTAGTCGAAATTTAGATAGGTATATTTTTGGTTGCCTGTCAATAATCGAGAATGTATTCTGCTTAACAATAGAAGCAGTAAACTTTTTTTTTTTTTTTTTTTTTAAGGTAGCTACCAAGCTTGAGCCTAGCTGCTATCTTATCCAGAGTATCTTTAGACCTAAACACTTTCAAGCATGTAAAATTCGGATGGGAACTGAATTCTTCAGTCGGCAACAACAGAAAAGAAATATGGAGCCTTTTGCGAAACCAAACATTTTGAAGCGTTTTCTTTGTCTATGTGATGCTTACAAGGTTCCCTACATCTGTTATACCAATGTTGCTGTTTAAAAATTGCCAGTAGTTTAACAACTGTTTCAATTCTTTTCTTCCTTTTTTTTTAACTTCTAATCTGGGTTTTCATTTTTTTTTTTTTTTTTGTCTTTAAATTTGATCTCTATCATATAATCTAATTGGTTTAAATAGAAGGACATGAAAGAAGGAGACATAAATCTAACAGCAATGTTAGGTATCATGAAAAATCTTTCATGAAAATAATCATGAAAATTTTGTGACTCTTAGATTACACTTAGAATAAAACACCACACACTAATCAAGCTAATCTAAGGACCATAAATTTTTCATGATCATTTTCATAAAAAAATTTTCGGGTATGTTTGATTTGTGTTTGAGAGATGTGTTTTAGAGATAAAAAGTACGAAAAGTTGTTTGGTTTGGTTTTTTTCAAAAGATGTTTTGGAAAATTATTTTGAGAGACAGTTTTGGAAAAAGTGATTGATTTGATGTGTGTGTGAGAGAGATTTGTTTGGAAAACTTGTTTGGTTTACAAGTTTTAAGAAATTTTTTTGAGAAAATTTGTTTGGTTTGATTACTTTTAAAAACTTATTTGTAGAGAAAATTTCCTAAAAATTTTTCACAAATACAAACCAAATCATAAATTGCGAGACTAGGACTCTGGTCTAATCATAAATTCCTAGTGTATGTTTTTTAAAAACTTTTAAAAACCAAATCACAAACCAAATCATAACTTTTAAAAACTTATTTGTAGAGAAAATTTCCTTAAATCTAATGTAGTACTCTGGTCTAATCATAAATTCCTAGTGTATGTTTTTTTAGGTTTTGTGTAGGACTAGGACAATGATGTGGAGGATACCTTCTTTCCATATATGTACTATGAAAAGGCTAGGTCCTCTCTTGTCCATTTCAATATAATTGCAGCCATTTCAGTATAATTGCAGCCCCCCCCTAGATTTGGAGAATGACATCTGGTCAAATTTTGTTCTTGCACGGAAGTTAACTTCCAACGTTGTACCCAGATTTGTTCTTACAACGTTGTACCTACATTGAATTTGAAGTTGTCCATCGTCAAAGCAATTAAAACATCCAGAAAATCTGGGTAAGTGATTGGATAGTAATAAATAATTTATATAGTGAGAGTTTTATTGAGATCTATATATATAAAATAAATTTAAATTATAAGATGAAAATTCTCCATAATTTCTAAATCGATTACTGTTTTTAAAGCGAGTTTCACAAGTTTGTAGCTTTGAATAATCTTTTTGCCTTTTGGCAAATCAATTCATGTGGAATAGGCATTGGAGCATGTCTCACCTTTTGTATTATACTTTATTATATATTTTTTAAAATTTTAATTCTAGCGACGTCATAATATAAAATAAGTAAAATAAAAAAAAAGATGAGGCGGAGAGTGAGATAGATGATCTGTATTTATGAAAAGGCCATGGATTCATAAATTATCTATAATTTTAAGTTTCATGGGATTACAGATTTATTTTTGAAAAACAAGTAAAAACGAATCATATGGTGTGCAATTAGATCTCCATTTAAAAAAGAAAGGGAAAGTGTAAAGTAAACTATATTGACATCTTTTAAAATTTGAAAAAAATATAGAAAGTTTTAGTAGGAATAAATTATATTTTACCCTTTTATGTTTAGTTATTTTTTCACTTTGGCTCCTAAAATTTATTTATTTTTTATTTTGATCCTTCATATTTCAAGTTTTTTCCAATTTATTCCTCAATCTAATTTATGTTTAAAAGTAGATATAAAATGTCACGTTGACTGTTACATAACATAAAAAATATATTATTATATTGGAATTTAGATTTGTGTCAGAGATGTGAGTTATATACAATAAAATATTTTTATACCATATGTCTGTCAATGTGTTATTTTTTTTGTCTAATTTTGAATATAAATTAACTTTTGGAGTAAATTGGAAAAAACATGAAACATGGAGGGCAAAAGAGAAAAAAAATAAATTTTATGGGCCAAAGTGAAAAAAATGGTCAAATATAACAGAGGTAAAGTGTAATTTACCCTAATTATATTGACTTATTTTAGTAAAATTAAATGGACTTGAATTAATGCATGTGGTGTGAAAACATAGGATAAATAAAATAAAATATACCATATTTTTTGTGTGTGTAAAAGATATGGCAATATCATTTATTTATTTAAGTAAAGATTATTGATGAAAATTGCGTTATGTGTTATATGAATAAAATTTTTAAAGGAGTTCCTTATAATTATGCCGAAACTATAAAGTTCACTGTATTTTTTTTTTTTTAAATTTATAGAAAGATCAGGGTAATTTACCCTTTAAAAAATGGAAAAGAAAAAAAAAAGATAAATTGCACTGACCACTCCTAAGATTTGAAAAAAAAAATGCAGTAAATCTCATAATTTTGATATAATTACATTGAGCTCCCTAACAATTTTGATTCACATAACACTTAACCCTTATTTTTATTAATAATTCATTGTTCATATGGATGGAAAAATGATGATATCATATTCTTTTACAATTACATATATTTTTTTACTTGTTTGTTATTGTGATTTTATACTATTTGTATTAGTTTTGATCACTTTAATATTATTATATTTTACAAATTTTCTTTAAATTGAAAATTAATATAAAAAAAAAGAAAAAGAAAATTGTGTGCATAAGTGCATGGGACATTTCACAAACACCCTTTTTTTGTGATTGATGATCATGGGCCATGGATTAATGTGTTATATATAACCTTTTGTAGTTTCCACCATCACTTAATTAGCTTAATTTAGTGGTTATATGATGAATTCCTTACTTTATAGAACAGAATAATGGTATATTTATGGGAGACTAAGGTCTCGTTTGACAACTTTTAGTTTTAGAAAAAAAGTTAAGAAGTTATTATAAGTTGTCACATCACTTTCTCTATTTTTTCACACATTTTTATAAAAAGTCAAAAAATTATTAAAATACCATGTTCCTAAACAAGGCATTAACGGACTGTTGGTTTGTTGTACATGAGCATTAATGTAGTAATGTTCAAATAATACAAAAAAAAGAAAAGAAAAGAAAAGAAAAAAAAAAAAGGTCTCATTTTTGGTAGCATATTTTATGTTGTGTTGAAATAAGATTTGTGCTATTTTATACTACACTTTTGACCAGTATTTTGATAAAAATTACATCTATGGTATTATAATTGGAATTTAATTGATCACTAATTAAAACTATGTAACGTGAAGATAAATTAATTAAGAGTTAATTTGGTTAAGATAAATTAAATGTAACTATAAGATTACATCTATATACAAGTCCATTTATTTATTTTGTAACCTTGACATAAGTTAATAAATTAAAATATTACTAAAAACATGAATAAAAACAAATAGCATAGAAAATTCTAATGTGGTGGAGCACCTGTAATATTTCAGCACAATAAATACTACACAATGCACCTTGATCAATTTCTAACAAATCTATATAAAATCTATATTTTTATTATATTAAAATAATATAAAAAATATTACACCACTCGAAATGCTGGTGTTGGTGAGAGGATCTTAATCCCTAGCTATACGTAAAGCACTGAAAATATGATGGACTTGGTTCTTACCATATATTATGGTGATAGATGGCACTGAAAATATGATGGACTTGGTTCTTACCATATATTATGGTGATAGATGTATGATGTACTTCAAATCTTTCTTTAAGGATTCTATGGTGACCCATAATCTCCATAAAACCATAATCTCCATAAAACCATTCTTTAGATACTGCAATCTTAGATCACCTATATGATGGGACATGCAATATTTACTGTTAGATTATTTGGCGCATTTTATTGTAAACTAAAAATTGATAAAAAAAAATAAAAAATATTCTCCACTATCTTCTAGGTAATTAGTTTTTTATATTTTATTTAAGTTATTTTAGTCTAATAAATCATAATTACAAGTTATATTAAATAGTTTGACACATACTCTCCCTTTCTCTCTCCTCTCCTCCCCCAAAAAACTTTTTAATTATTTTTATTTAAATTCTCAACTTTTTAAATGGTATCAATTCTAACTATCCAGTAGTCATAACTAACGAAATTTAGATAATTTATAACCAGTTTTTTGTTGGTGGTGCTGGACACCGATAGTGGTTATAGACAGAGAAAAGGAAGTATATGGGTGTCAGCTTATAAGTAAGAGATGAGTAGCAATGAATGGGAAAAAATGATGGAGTAATGACATTGGATTTGGGAGATAAGAGGTGGCGATGGACGATAGTAAATGTGCAAAGTGGCTATCAATAGTAACGAAGAGAAGAAGAACAAAAGTAGTTAAATTG